TTCTCTGGGGGCACATTAAAAGCAAAGTTTACAGCACTCCACCTGATACCTTGGAAGATCTGCGAGGACGAATCATTAATGTATGTCGCGAAGTAACACCGCAAGTGCTCCAGAATGTTCGACAACGGTTTGAAGACAACCTGTATCATTGTATGCAAGTTGGCGGACAACATTTTCAGCATTTACTTGACTAATACCGTAAGTTTTGAAGTAAAATTAAATCGATTTTCGCATTTCTCGTCAAAAATATTGTTCGTATTTTCAAAGCTGCATATTTTCTAAAATAATGAATCGATTTTCAAAAAGTAAGAATCGATGTATAGAGAATTAAAAGCCCTTTCTAATGACCCCCCACTTGACCCCCATTCCCATTTGAAAAAATTTATGGGATCGTACCCCCACTTAGGGGGTTGAAGATTTTGGTATGCTTTTTAGGCCAAAAGTTGTCCCCCTCAGAAACAAATTTGACCTGTTTTTGGATTTTGCCGAAAAGTTCTTTACTACCCTGTAATGCCTTGCGGTACGTTTTCCATGGGCTACCCTGTATGTACTTATCAGTTATAACATTAAATATCATTAATATAAATACATTACAAATATGTTTAATTGATACAAGAGCAAATAACTATAATCATCGCAACCAAAAGTTAAAATCGCCAAAACTGACGGCTTTGTGCTACTTCTAAAATTATCATACAAGTATTTATATCCGGTAGATATTGTCAAATATCGACGTGAAAAGATGTCACTACCCAAGTTAGATGATCAGAAACAAGTTCTGAACATATTGTTGCGTAAAATTATCCCATAAGCCTAAAAACTAAGTGCAAAATTAATTTTTGATATTGCGATATCCGAAATTTTCATCAAATTGTTCTAAAAAACCTTCATACTTATTCAATAATTAATACTTGTTAAACATAAAGATTAATCTTTGAATTGGTTGGCTATATTAATACTATTTTTCATATTTTAATAGTAATTCGCTGTATGTAATAAAAAATAATTTGATGATAAAAAACAAATACCCAACAAGTCCCGTGTTTCCGTCAACTAAACATTCTTTGAGCACTCGCCTTAAGTCGAATCATCAACAGATTAGCTCAAACTGATTAATTACTACATACTTAAAAAAAGCATATGGCCGAGATGAACGGCGAATATTATTTCTTAATGACATTTTATGGAAGTTTTGTGTGTGTGTGTTGTTAGTAGTGCCAACAACGGCCAATAGTAGACTATACAGGTTCGGAAAGTCCCCATGGTACATCGGCCGTTACGTGAGAACGATAAAGTAAGTCATAAAAATCCGTACGATAGACAAGGATGGTTATATTGAAGGGGCGGTGACTATTCAGATTATGAAAGGTCTTCACTATAGCCATCCTTGTCTATCACACGGATTTCTTTACTTTACTTTGTAGCTCTCATTTAAAGGCAGATGGACCATGTGGATTTTCCAGCCCTATAGTTGAGTAAACAAATAAATAAATCTACAACAAGAACTGGAGAATTTGCAGTTCCAGTCAAAATTTACCTCCACCTACGGCTTAGTCTTATATTATGATCGAAATTATGGATGTAAAAATTTACAAATTTGTCGTTTCGCCTGGCGACAGCCGATTTAACTTAAAAAGCCATAACACGTGTGTCACCTTTCGCCAAGCAGCAGCAACGTAACCGTGTGTGCGTTATTATAATAATATGGGTGTATACAACATAGTCTGCGTCCCCCACATCTGCTGCATGCTGTCAACTACATAAATTATGCCCATGTCTCTATGGCGAGTCTCGCAACGGACCCAAATAAAGAGGTGGACAGATTTTAGATTCTTGGCGACACGAGCTGTCGAAAAAGTAGAAAATTTACGCTCGGACGACGTCTGCCTTTCCTTTTTATTACAAATTATATAAACGCCATTACCATATTCAGAAAAGGAAATTCAACATATATACAACGTACAAACAGCTTTGCTGGAGCTCTTCTGTTCAGTGGCTTCACTTATTTTATATAAATAATAGTACATCAAAGTATAAAAATTATTATTTATACAAGTGTGAAGTGAAATAATAACATAGTTTCCCTAAAACTAATCCTAAGGGTTCTATAATCCCTCAGAAGTTCGTAGTTTTCAATTAGCTGCTCAAATACAATTGAAAATACAGACATCACAGTTGGGACAGGATACAGAATCGATATAGAGCTCAGATACTAGATCCAGCTGCTTTACATAAATCAAAGATCCCACAACATATCGAAATAACCGCAAAAAGTCGCCCAAAACTACAGCTGAACCCTACCGAAGATTCTCCTTAGAAATTGGCGGAGCCATCCTGAAGCGGGTTGGACCGTCAGCTCTGGTGGTCCTCGAATGAGTACGTTCCTTGCCAGTACGAAATAGAATCTCAGGCATTCAGTACCTAGCGCTGTTTAACAAGAGTCATACATTGTTGATCCAATACTTCAAATAAACTTTTTTCTTCAACTACAAAACTGTCATAAATTGCCATGAGCTCAGGATCAAACATAGATCATGAATCAAGCGTCAAAATTGCCCAAGATTAGCATAGACCTATGGTCGATATATAAACCAACCCAAAAACAATGGAAGGGTACGAAAAATGTCAAAACACAAAAAGTGCCATCGAGAGAGAGATGATTAGAATTATCTATCTTGCTAGGATAAAAATGAATGTTTGTTTAGTTTTGAAAATGTTTTCCAGAAGCAAACATGCGATTCTGATAAAATATGAAAATAAACATACTTCAATGTTACTAAAATGATGTATGACTCTATCTAGGTATACGAGTATCGTTCTATTGTTTACTTGGCCATGACCGCGTATAATTTAATTTGAATGGGAATTGCTACTTATATGTTCGTCTTCCATAGCAACAAGTGGAAAAGATAGCTTTATAATATAAACGCTAGTTAAAACACATCATTTTTTTAGCATTCAGAACATAACTAAAATTATAACTAACTACTTCGTAGCTGGTTGTAAGAGGAAGCAAGCAAGTTAAAAAAAGAACTGTTTGATTTTTTTAATTCTGTCTATGAGACAGAGTGTCATTTTTTAACCTACAGTTTGTACATTTAAGTAGGATAATTAATAGGTACAGATAGGTACATATATAACAGATAGCAGAAATTGATTTAATTTTTTTGTCGGTCAAAAATGTCATTATGCAGTATCTATATGTATTTCCATTCGAATTGAGTTATTTCCCCATTTACAAAAATGTGCATTGTGATTTTACTAAAAAAACTCTGTATAGCTTCATTTACTGTTAGATACTTCTACTTAACCTTTTTTCATCTGTTCAAATCACCGACTTTAATTATGATTAAGTAATCATAATAAATTTATAAAATTATTTACATAAGTAAAAATAATGGTTGCAATAAACACTAACAAAGATAACTAGGTTAAATGTCACTTCATGATATTGTATTTTGATAATTTTTAATGGGAGAAAATTAATTATTTAATAAATTACATTTTTCGAGGAAATGTGGAACTTTTACGATATCATCATGTATTGTGACGTTCTAAAATGAATTTTTAATATTTGTTTTTCTTGAGTTTTTAATCAATATGAACACATTAAACATAAATTGACTCTACAAAATGATAATTTCACAAAATAATGTATTAGATTTTATTTAAAATATTTCTAAATCTTTCAATATTATTATGAGGTAGACGTATTACAATATACAAATTATTCTGTAGCGCAATTTTTAAAGACAATTGAAATAGTTATTTATTGTATAAGTATTTTAAGTAGCATTTTATCCACGCAAGAATGTTTAATATTCTTAAGTGGATAAATTATTAAAAAGCAATTAAATCACGAATGCAATACGTTTTATCCATAATCACATCACAATCAATTTTGTGGAGTCAGAATTATTGGAATTTTCTGCTATAACTAATATGTAATAAATAACAAATTAGAATAAGAATAGCTTCGACTAGAATAATGCAGCTAAAAATTCTTTTGTATATTTCTGTAACTAAAGTTCAATGGCTCTGAAATATGTCATAAATTATCACAGTTTCTTTTAAAGACATATTAGTTTGTCGCAATCTATAAATAATAGGAAACAAACACATTCAAAAGATAAAGAACTGGTTCGCTACAAATAAATTAAACATTATAATACTCTATTAATGTTATTCAAAGGAACATTATTTTTTATTCTGCATATGTACCAAGTACTGAGATGAAAGTAATAAGTATTATAGAATTATTTATTAATTATGTAATTTTAATGGATTTTATTTTTACGATTAGACAAAACCACTTAATTAAATAAATGTGGTTTCTCATATTCACATCACATTGTTTTGCAAAAACTGTTAAATTCAGTACAAAATATGTATACAATTATGAAGTAGTAAAGCATTTGCTCAACCTTTCCACATCTTTTTTAAAAGTAAAAGTAAATTTTTTCAGTCCCTTTTCGCACAAAGTTAACCTTATACCTAATAAAGTAATCACTGAACTGTGACCCATGAATCATGCGGCACTGAAATACTACATTTACGAAATATAAACTTTTGGAATTCCGAATTTCTTTTCTCATTAGATTCCTTTAGACACGCCAAGCTATGCTTATGTAATAATTACTAACAAAAACTAAGTAGCACTTGTCAAAGTATTCGATGTAACCTAGATTTATGATAAAATATCACATTTTTCTAATGTGTCCTATTCAAAAAAAGTAATAATACTTAGAAAATGTGCGTTCTCTTTTGCTAATTAAGGGTTCCTTTTCGCATTTTTTATTTAAATACTAATTAGCGATTTGTTTAAGTAAATTAATCAATTTAGAAAAGGCAAATAAATATACTGGTAGGTACTTATAGAATTTGATCAGAGAATATAAATGTTTTCTATGAAAATTTTGCCAATTTAACGACGATAATTAAAAAGACACTTGATATTCCATATCGTTAACACATGATTTTTATTATTACAGAAATATTACCAGATTATCCAATAGATCACAAACAAGCAGATTTACTGTCGATCGATTAACAAACTAATTGTTTGCAAAGAAAAAATACAGAACTGTTTCGAAACTGAATATTCAACTCATTTGTAATTGCAAACTAATGCAGTGCTGATACGGTACTAACAATATAATAACTAATAGTTTATCATCTAAGACCTCTACTCCAAAGTCCTTATTTAATGTGCAGATAAAGAGTCATCGGCTTTTATATCTTCCAATTTCTTATGTTCTTTGTTTTCAGTCAAATAACAGAAATAGTCCCGTTTACATGAAAAACATTACAATCATTTTAATAGTTATCTATGTTTAAGAGGAATTTTAACATTTCACAATTCTTATTTAATATATTTGCAACAATGAATTTCGAGTAATAAATTTTCCGACAATATTCATTTTACATATACAGCACCTATAAAGTAAAACGCTATGACACGCTATTTAAGATACCTCAAAATAATAAAAAAATTATTACTCATCGCATGAAAACATTTATGATAGAGGTGAAACCCAATCCATTAAAATTTTACATGTTGGTTAAAGTAGAACACCTAATTTTGCTGCAAAGGCGAAAGAGTTGCCAAATTGACCGAACTATTTTGAATCAATTTTTTTTTATTGAATATTATTATGTACAGCGCTAGAGTTCCAGTTTGTAAAAAAATGAAACAGATGACAGATAATTTAATTTTTAGGTAGTTTACTAAAAAAATAAACGAACTTTAGGTAACTTTTAAAGCGGTTTTTGGGCAGTGTATCAGAAGCTACAATTAACATTAAATCCAAATTTGCTACGCATTGCAAGAGTATAAGATGCAACAACAAAAATTTTGTTCTATTTATAAGCGGCGTGTGGAGAAATATACATGAAAATATTTTGTACGCGTATGTATTTCTTGAATCTTGCAATTTTTTAGTAAAACAAGTAATCGAATTGCTATTCCTAAACTAGAAAAACAAAACTGCCTTGTGTATAAAATATTAAAGTTTTTAGGGTATATGAAATAAATTGTAGTGTTCCATTTGTGAAAAATCCACCTAGTATAAAAAAGTATGCATATAAGTATAAGTATCAAGTATTTCAAAACATAAAACGTGAATGTTTTTACTTTACAAGCAAATAGTGGTTAGTTATGTTCTGATATGTAACTCACGTACTTATCTCTTGTTAAAAGCTAATTAAAATTAATCTTATTTACAGTTTGAAATATTAATCATTAAATTTTCGTAACTACAAACAACTTTCTCGACCGTTTTTTAATTTTAAGTTAACATGTTATTTAATAGAACGTTTTCAGTTGAAATCCAACAGTAATTTTTAATTTCTATTTAACTGTTTATTTAAAAATATTATTTAATAGTAAAACAAATATGGCCGATAGTTGTGTCGTACCAGACTATTAAAGTCCCCAGATTGACCTCTAGATACTTTATAGGCTATGTTTTAATTGTCGTCTATTACAATAACAACTAAAACATACATTATGCCAGCGAGTTTCAGATGTTCTCATCTACTTAAATATAGTTTTTCCTATAAAGTTTTTATTTGGGACGCTTCGTCAAAAAGATACAGGGTGTTAAATTTCAAAAAATATTTTTAATTTTTTTAAATACATAATTTAAAAACTAGTAAGTGAAAAAATTTGAAATTGGGCACATCTATTTATGTAAACAATAAACATTGTCCAAAATCTGAGGTCTCTCAATTTTCTACAAACTACTCTCTTTTATGTTTTTCGAAAAAAAACCTGATTTTCGAGTAAAACTTAAAAACGAACTGAAAACACCGGACCTCAACCCACTGGATTTATTTTTGAGGAGTGCTGTTAAACGAACATTGAATTTTCTTACAATTTTCTTATTAGAAATCTAGTAACTCCACATTGTTCTATAATTCTATTTAAATTTTTAAGATCTTTAAGATCTTGGCGCAAAAAAGTCAAAATTAGACTATTTTTATAATCTGGACAAAATCAATAAATAAAAAATAACCAATTGAAATAAATAAAAATCTAACAGAAACCGTATAAAGTGTATGGAATAATGTGTATTATTATTGATACAAATACAAGTTTTAAAAAATTGGCACTTGAAAAAATCAATTTAGTATTTGCAAATTTGTGAGGGTTAGATACTTCCAAATAATTAGATTCCATTTAATAAAAAATATTCGACCTTCATTTGTTTCTCACTTAAATCAGTCAAATTTTGGATAAACAAATCGAACCTTTTCAAGTTTCAAACAAATCAAACTGGAATATTTTTTTAGTACTGAATATTCGTTTGTTTTCATTCTCAAATAACATCTGAAAAAAGGTATAGTAAACATGATGTAACGACTGAAAAAAAATTCTACGCTTCAAATTTAAACATCCTTGATGGTTTATAGCAGAAACAGCAGTTGGTTAGTGTTTACTTAATAGCTCGAAATCAAACAGATTCTTCATCTGTAATAATAAATCTTAATATTAATCCTTATATTCCTTATTACGGCTCATACCTACATTTATATGGATTAGGATACTTAACATTATTTTAAGAAAATCGCTAATATGTGTCAATTCTTAAAAAAATATTTTCGTTTTTCCAGTACGTGTTTTTTTAGAGGTGGAACACTTGTAACATGTTAATTGGCACGAAAGTGCGAACATAAACAACAAAATAAAATATGTCTCAGTTACTTTGCAACAACAATCGTATTATTGTCGTAAAGTGGGAAAACACGTGGATAATTGTTGGGCGTTTGCCAGGTTAATGGATTAAGAATGATGATTAAGTTGTTTTAAGTTATTTTAGGCCTCTGCCAAATGAACCCAAAATTGCTTAGAGTTTATTTATAATCAATTGTATTTTTACTACAAACTTTTTTTTAAAATAAAAAGTGCATACATTTAGAAAAGTAGGCACAGCTTTTGTGTATATTCGATGATTAATTTTCTTTTTAGCACTAGCAAAACGTTAAGTTATAAAAAATGGCACAGCATAGTTTTAAAAATAAAATAGTAGAAATTTTTTGTTTGTTTCAGTTTTTTCTATATTTATTTGGAAATTTTGAAATCTGTGAAAAAATATTGGAAAAAGGCGGATAAATAAATAAATTGTATTACTTTGGAGAGAAAATTACATTAATTTGGACAAAAAACAGAAAAATAATGATAATGATAATGTTTATACTTTAAGTAGGACACTCTTTTAAAATTAAAATACAATTATACAGGGTATCGAATATAGGTCTCAGAATATGTTGCTATAAAAATTTTGCCTAGAGACCCCTAAAGGGCGCCCCTGAAATTCGATTTGTTTTAATACGATGGATAACAGATAAGACTTCTTAAAAAACAAACTATGTAAAGCACAATAGCTTGAACATTAAACTAAAAAAAAGCACTCTTGGTTGATATCGATAAAAGTAACTGTTTTCGAGAAAAAACTATTTTTGTTTAATATGATTTTTATTATATCCGTAAAGAGAAATAAAATTTGCATTCTTTCTGTGCCTATCTAAAATTTGTATTTTTCTAACAATAATTAAACTACACAAATTATTTTAAAAGTTATTAAGGGCCTGTATAGGAGGGCCCTCTAGGGAAAATTTTTATAGAAGCCTGTCATGTTATTTTAAAATTCTCTATATAAATCCGAGACATTGCCTACATATTCTGACACACCCTGTATTTTATACCAGTTAGGAATGAGTTTACGTGAAAATTAGATAAATACTAGTTGCTCCGTCTTCCACCCAAAAATGTACTTATGACGTGAATATAAAGGTTTTCGAGGTTATGCATAACCATAAATAATAAGATATGAAATCAAAAATGTTTTAAACCAGGAGTCCTTCATTTTGAAAAGATATGACTAAAGCTAAAACAGGTGCAGGTTTAACTCTTGGAAGTAAAATAACGTAGGTATAAAAAGTTTCTTTGTTGAATAGGTTAAACAGGTTGTACGTACGATAATTGGGTCAAACTCGAATTAATTTGAACTTAACTAAATAAAAGTAAAATTTCACTAATAGCCTCAAATAACATAAGGTTTTATTAAAAAAGTTTCGATTTTCAATTCTCAACTTCGACAGAACATAACGCTACAAAGTGAGCCCGAATAAAGAATTTATATAAACATGTGACGTTGTTTTTGCAGCTCCCACCCAAATCCGAGAGATTAACCACCATTTCCTGGACATCTCGTATATGGAAGTAGAGTTATACAGGGTGTGGCGTGTATAATCTATAAAAATTAAACTACAGCTTCCTGAACGAAAATGAACGCCGACCCTGTGTTATTTATTAAAAACTTTGGAAATGTTTTTATGCGACCCGAGATGTAACCTTATAATTTAAGTCGGTATTAATACTAGTAATATTAAAAGAACGTTAGGTTACATTATCAAAAAAGTGTGCAGTCAACTGATTTTGTATTTGTATTGAATTGAAAACCGAGAAAGCAATGCATTTACTATTTGAGAACGTGTCGATATGGTGTTAGGGTATAGTGCAGCCGGAGAAAATGCGTTCGCGGAGACTAGTTGTACCGGGAACGATGGCCACAACGTCACCCCCCACGTGCAAATACAATCCTACAGTGCGTTCAGCGGTTGCGAGATACGGAAGTGTTATTCCAAGTGAACCTTAATATTGAAGATGCAGTATTGGAAAATCTTGACGAAGACCCCACAATTAGTACTTGCCGACTCGCACAGCAAGTAGGAACCTCGTCTCGTACCGTACATCGCATCTTCAGACGCCAGCTGTTGCACCCCTATCATCTGCAACCAGTTTACCCCCGGATTGTGATCAACGAATGCGTTTTTGCAGATGGTTTTTACGGCAATGTGCCAATCAAGTAGATTTTCCTGCTTATGTTTGTGTAACACATGAGGCGATATTTAGCCGTGATGAAGTGAATTTCCATAATATGCACATATGGGCCGATGAAAATCCTCATGCGATTAGGGAAACTCATTTTCATCATCGGTTCTCGGTAAATGTTTGGGCTGGCATAATAGGCGATGTATTTGTG